GCAAAGTGTTGTCTTGTTCATTTCGGGATCCAGTTGCTAGTCATTTCTGCCAAATCATCGCATTTGAATAGTTGTGATGGACTCGTTTGTTGTCATCACGAGCCATTTTTCGGCTTGCGAGACCAAAGGTCAGTTGAGATATGCAAATTAAACAATAGGACATGGCGATTATAACTTACCATTGTTCTTATCGTCGGCGGCTGGTACCGGAAGATACATTGATGTGTGATTTCGCGATGGCCACCAAAGCAAGACCCTTCTAGCTGTGTCTCAAGTGAAAATGTTATATACGTCCACATCACATATAATTATAATGCATGAGATCATGTTATATTAAGTAATGCCTATACACCGTAGCAAAATATAACATCATGTATCCTGTTGAAAAGAGCCAGCGTATGACGAATTACGAAAGCATTATAGAAGAGCCGATTTGCTAATTTGTGTGTGTATAAAGCCATACGAATACATAGAAATATGACCGCGGCTTTTTCCAGAGATCACATGTCGTCTGGATGTGTGCTTTCGAAAAATTCGTGTAGCTTATTTAACGGCAATAAGTCCAATATTAAGAGAGTTCATACGGAACGAATAATATTATGTACAACGTGAGTAAATGAAAAAATTGACGCCGGTTATACAAAGCCGCACAAGCGCTAAGCGATAAATATATCAATTCCAATAGGATACGTATGACTCCGGTGCAACGCGAACATCAAATGACACGTAGTAATTGGAACCAAAGCTAGCCAATTCTTTAGTGACAAGCGCAATATTCACTAAATATGAAAACAAAGCAACCATGGCATGTTCTGTTTCCGATCGACTTATTTTCGTGATAAATGATAAACTTAGTCGTCAAACTTTTCGCTTCTAGGATGAACCAACGCGAGATACTTCGTACGAAAAGATGCTATACTTAAAGATACATTGCATCATTTTTATTGAATGAATCTCGTATCTAGATTACAATCCTTGTTTACGATGATGATAGAAAATGATCTGCAATTCAAATTTATCTGTATTTGATTGCGTGGGATACATATATATGTGGTGACCTACATCCCACCAGAAAACGCACTTAAATGTTGAATAAAAGGTTAAATAACCCAAAACATATTTTATGCGGTTGTTATGCAATTGAAGAAGAGAAGAGGTGATTAATTTCCCTCACTTTTACAAGAGCGGTAGCACTGATACCATTGCTACAAGCAACATTTCTCTATCGTGCAGAATAGCAGTAGTACTTACGAAAAGACTTCATAGCGTTGATAGTTGTACAAAAGTAATTTGTCTATAGAATTTTGCGACAATGGATCTCCTTAGCAAATAATTTACCTCTTGCGGACACGATTAAAGGTTTATTTGGAGGGAAGATATCGATTAATGATTTACGTAAGAATGGGTAGTGATAGATAGTCTGGTACCGGTAAAAGTAGACTAAACCAGCTAATCGAATATACTTGTAAATGTCCAAATATAGTGTCTAGGTAAAACATTTTTATGAGCTAGTGTTTTGACTTAAAAGAGGCAATTTGGAATCAGATGATAACGCAACACGTAAGGAAGACATAAATCGTCTTACTAAAGATTTAACCATGCTGCGTAATTTAACATTATAGCAAATACACAAATCGGAATAACAAATACCTGTCTTACAATACTGTGAGTCAAATAAGGTCTTAACTGACAAATGTAAAGCAAGCGTTGACTATCGTGTGATTATAGTGAGCGCTGAAAACCAAGATATAAATTAATATGTGATAAACATGAAGCTATTGCCATCGCACTTTTTATACAAGCGGCCGAACGATTCAGGCAAGAGCATGAAGTCCCTTTACGTTGTCGAGAATTGCCGAGATGGAAGTGACTGCTATAAATATAATATTCTGACAGCCGAGGTAGCGTACATTCACACTCTCCGAGATGAGGGCGTCATATTGAACATTTTAGCGCGGGGGCGCCACAAGATGAAATTTTGGCACACGCGGTCTAGCTATACACAATATAGACTTGTGAGGATTATATGTGGCTCAAATTTAAGCTTGCTTGTGGATTAAGGCAATCTTTAGCGACATGGGTTTTTTAATTTTCATGGCTTCTCTAATGCAAGATGAGATTAGTGTTGAAGATTCATTGCGGTAGATACAAAGTTTGTTCCGTACGTAAAGGAGGCCAATTATAACAACATACTAAAATTTATCGCTTTGCGTCGAGATCTACTCACCTTTTATTTGTATAAACCGTGAAAGAGACAAATGACTTTCGATTAACGATACAAAGCCTGTATAAAATTGTTAATAGAGTCGTAAATACCGTCAAGATCTAGAGACGTGTATTTTTTTATCATAACAAACAGCGTTCACTTACCAAGCAATGTATCTACATATGTTAATATGGAGATAAGAACCTGTACGTGCCAGTAGATGGCAATATGATCGCAACAAATATCAATTCATACAAGAGACACGATATGTAAGATGTATTTGACGCATACATACTAAATACCCTTGATAGTAATATATTTCTAGAAAGTCGAAGGGGATATTTCCGGAGGTAATTATAACGAATGTAATATAGGCATATGCATGGAAAAATACGACTTAAGCAATCATTAAGCGCATGCTGCAAATAAGTTATACAAGTTAATGCGCGTTAGTCTCAGCGATGTACAATAAGTAATATGGTAGGAGCTAATCGAATAATGAAGCTATTAAGATGCATGTACACTTTGCTACTTGTTCCAGGATCACTTTGATCTGCGTAGCGAGCCGGACTATCTGTCGGCCGCTATGCCATAAACCTAGTAAGTGGGAAGTTTCAGGGCGCTCGACTATATTTCGCGCTGAAATTAACTATGGCATTGCGTACATAAAATGGATGCATATTTGCAAGAAGCTGAGACAAGCGATTTTAGTGTGGGTTTCGGGCAAATGACCTCGAGCACCGCAAGAGCATGTCTGTATTTGTACTAGCTCCGGCCGAATGTGCGATAACATGGATGGAGATCGGTATCGCATTATCTACAGCAAATACAGAGTATCTCGCGGCATGTAAAGCTATAATGGAGGTGATGACATTACACAATAGTTCACAAGAGACCCCCCCCCAACTCGTTTCAGCAGACCACGCATCGGTATTGACAAATTCGCGGCTTCAGTGATGGCGTCGAAACCGATGCATAATCGACGAACACGCCACATGGAGCTTAGGTGGCATTTGGCACGGGAATAAGATAAGAAAGTCCTATTTTGGTTGCACAAGGTCAAGGCAAAAAACAACCAAGCTCACGCTATACCGAATAGCTCGACAAAAAAGCATCTGCAAAGATGGTCTATAATATTGTTTCATCGCTGTCACCAGTGAGTTGCCAAGCATGAGTAAAGACCACTCTGTGAGGAGGGCGAGTGGGTTGGCTATCATATTACCTGTTGACCTTTTACCAAAAGCGGGATGTGGACAGATATGGTCGCAGTTTGAGGAAGGAGGTATATAAGTGGTGATGCGGAATCGGAATTATTCCGACCCTACGCTATCGCCAAGAACGCTAGGGGTTCACACCTACTGTATAACAGTCTTTTTTGAAATCGACCATGCCGCCAATGGTACAACCTGTGACGAATATGACTTGGTTTAAATCATCGTAGGCGCACGGGAAAAGCACCGCAAAAAGAAGCGACCGGTAGCCATATGTCCTGAGTAATTGGCATCTAGTGGAATCTCAATTAGTTTTTTGCTTGATGCAGCGAATGACCCTTTGCGAAGGGACATTATCGTCAAGTATACTCGAGCAGCTCCTCCTCAAGTCTTTGTACTTTTAGTTACCACATTGTGACTCACTAGACGACGCAAGCTTGGACAATCGTCAATCATTGTCGACTATCATCGGTTGTGATTCGGTGGATACGGCAGCTGTAACGGGGCAGCCCGTTACATGAAATTGTCACTTTAAGGAAAGTGACAATAAAGAATATAAAGATGGATATTCTTTAAAACAATATCACCAAAGTGGTGATATTGAAGGGTCGACCAAAGGGTCTGTTCATTGGTTGATATCGTGATGATATCAACCCACCAATCGCCGCAAGACGCGCGCAATGAGTGGTGACGAGACGTCACCATACATGCAGTTATATTAGTATAATTGAATTAAGTCAAACGAAGAGACAGTAGTTTAAAGACTTAATTTATTAATATAACAGTTCTACTTTTACCCTACCTACGCTTCCTCGCTTGCCACGTGTACGTCTGTCGGGGCACTCAAAACCCTTGCGTTAAGTTACGCAAGGGTGTGCCCCGTTACAGCAGCGGTGATGCACTGAGCTAAATGACACATCTTCTAAATTAGTATGTGCTATTGATTGAGCACAGCGGTTCCCATAGCATGACCACGTTAACTTGTCGCATCCCAACTGCTAAAGACTAAGCACTACTTCCATCAAGTACATTCGCAATAACGAGAGCTCACGAAGCTCATGGTTAGTGCTTATACGACTTAGTGGTATCACACAAGAGAAGACGTCGTGCAACTTTCACATGGACATGACAGGGCCCGCATTTTGCCACGCAGTTTCGAAAGCGTCGTGCCGCTTACCAATCGTTCATCGTTGCTCGTATCCCACCGGCACCAGCGAGTGCCTCGACTGCACCCTGACTCTTAAAACAGTCACCACATTGCTAGGGATTTAGTCCTTGATCGCGATTCGAAAAGGCTGATCAATGGAATGTGCAAAGCTTGTGCGCAGGGTTCCAACCGCTTATGATTTCCTCGCTGCTTTGACGCGATCAAGCTGCACATGCAGAAACACCTTATCAGTAGCAGCCGAACTGATTCCCCTTTTCATAGGCGCTTCCCAGTAGGTTTAAGCCCTGCGACGTAATTAAGTGACAAATAATGTCTTTCGGGTGTCTCTGATAAGTTCTCGGATCGCATTTGTCCGATCTGTGTGCGCCTTACAGTGGTACGTCTCCCATCACTGCATAACGTACACACGTCCGTCATGACGCCGTCGTCGCCCCATATTTCACCGCTCGCGTGCAGCCACGAGCAAGCAGCGGCGACACGTGTTCTAACCAACCGGTCTCTCTTCCGTCACATTATGAACTTTATCGACGGCGTCCCGGGCTCTGTCATGTCGCTTGTGATTGATGCGCAACAAAAGAATACAGACGTTCCATGGTCATCCGTCAAGGGCTCATTGTCGCGCGCTGTAATCCAACGCGGAGATTTGGCCACGCTCATCCATTTGAAGACCTTATCAACCACAAAGAGGTTTCAGTCGAGTCCTGAGCTCGCGTTTACTATAGAGACAATTCGCTGCGCGATTGAGTTTGGACGTCTGGAGATCTTAAAGTACTTGGTAGACACAGGCATCCTACACGGGAACACGTCAGGAAGACGGACAGAGACTTTGATTGACGGTGCTACACTCATGGGCTGGGCTGTGCAGTACTCAGACGTGCTCGCCTCTACGCCAAAACTTGATATTATTGAGTGGGTGGCAGATAACTACTCGACGTCGGTATTGATGCAGGTCAAAGCAGAAGACCTATGTCGAGCGAGTGCGTCCGTGTTGATGTTTTTGCAAAGTAGAGAACTGGCCACGAGTGGTTTCGAAGATCCGAGACTCGTGGACTTTGTTGCTGCTATGGGAAAGATAGAGGAGTTGAAAATTTTGCTGGATAGAGGGGATGAAGAGACGGTAGTAGCGCGGTGTACGTCGAACGCGATGGACGAAGCAGCTACGAACGGGCACTTGGCGATCGTGCAGTATTTGCATTGCCATAGGACCGAGGGATGCACTGTAAAGGCCATGGATGGCGCTGCTCGAAATGGACATTTGGAAGTTGTGCAATTCTTGCACACTCAGCGGACGGAAGGATGTACCGTTGCTGCCATGAACGGAGCTGCCCACAATGGACACCTTGATGTTGTGCAGTATTTACACAGCCACCGGAGCGAAGGCTGCTCGGCCGCTGCTATGGATGGAGCTGCGGCTAGAGGATTTTTAGACGTCGTGCGTTTTCTTCACGAAAGTCGCAACGAAGGATGCACGACCAAAGCCATGGATGGAGCTGCACAAAGCGGGCACTTGGAGATAGTCGAATATCTACATACTAAGCGCAAAGATGGCTGCACGACGGATGCAATGGATGGTGCGGCACTCGTAGGAGGCTTGCCGATTGTCACTTTCTTGCATGAAAATCGAAAAGAGGGATGCACAACAAGAGCAATCGACGGTGCAGCTTGGCGAGGTCACCTTGACGTTGTTAAATTTCTGGTGGCAAAGCGCTCAGAGGGATGCACTTTCAAAGCTATTGACTATGCCTGTCAAAACGGCTATCTAGAGATTGTGCGGGTCTTACATGAACAGGGACGTGCGCTGTGCTCGACCGCGGCAATGGACACTGCTGCAAGTGGTGGACATGCAGAAATTGTACAGTATTTGCACGAAAATCGAGTAGAGGGCTGTACAAAGGATGCCATGACAAATGCAGCGATCAATGGGCATTCAAAAGTAGTTCTCTTTCTTTGCAAGCACAGACACGAGGGTCCGCATGAATTTGCTCTTGAGCGCGCTGCTGGACTCGGTAACTTCGAGTGTGTGGATGCCTTGATGCGCTATACAATTCGTGGCTGTCTTTTTGAGGCGCGCTCGGCCGCTATACAGGCTGGTCACACACATGTGGCCGAACTGCTGTCATCCTGGATAAATCCAGACGTTCGGACGTGCTCGTCGATGCGCTATCACGTGCTGCCTGGTCCAAGGTGGTGTCAAAGGCACACGCAACGCAATTCTGAAGGAGGAGTATATCCATCGGAGGCTGTCAAAGCGTCACAAATCGAGCGATATTCGAATGAGCTGAAAGTCTCTGGATGGTGGCGGTGGTTTCGGAAGATATGAGATCGACCAAGCACTGGCGCTGTAAATTCCTCTTGCCACCCATTTATGGCCTCAGAAATGCACCCTGGCAGCTAAAAAGATTCCTGAGCAACGAAGGTGGATATGTGTTGTTCATCCAAAAAAACATTCGTGCTATCTTCGTCAAGATGGCAAATTCATGTTGAATGCACCACGCGCATCTCAACGTTTTCACCTATCGAGTTGTCAAGATGAGGCACTCGACATACAATTGGAATCGCTCCTTCATGTCGGGTTGCCATATTTGATGTGTTACTACATATTTTAATGCCATCAAGGAGATCCAAAATGTGACTGCAAACTTACGTTCGATGACGACGTTGTACCAGTTTGCCTCATAGGAGATGATGCAATTGTGCGCCGAGCTACCGAAGTATATGTATAGACGACGAGGAGAGGAGACAGTGGCTGCAAAAAAAGTAAAAGCAGGCCCTCAAGATTGATAAGTGAGCGTAATATTGTAAGCGCTCGGTACGTAGGCACAATCTGTGGCTAAAACAAGACAGAACAAAGAATTGCCTGGACTTGTAACGCTCAAGTTCGCGTTGACAACGATCTGGCACATAAATGCAGACCTTTTAATGCTGCATATACTATGACAATTATGTTCAATTATCTAGCGCGCTTCCGCCGCGTGACTTCAGAGATATTGGCGACGATTTTCAATGCATCGCGGCCGTCGTCTATGCTAGTGCGTGTCGACCACTTTTTAATTTTTTATTTTAATCAAGTCAGACGCTTGATGTAAGGAGGGAAAAGATCAACACTGCGTAGCAAAGCTGATCACATTTTTGAAAAGTGGCTGCATACTATCGGGTGCGAGCCTTGTCTTGGATACAAAAAGCAAAGCTTGCAACGTCTTGATGACAGAGCAGTAGATATACTACTGGCGTTAGCGAAACTAGGGTATCTCAAACGAAAGCGGGCATGGACAACGAGTATTTGGATATGCCCACATAGCCGGTCGTTAGAAAGATCGAGCTTTGAAGTTATTGTTGCCATCGGCTTCGTAGATCATAATGTCGTACAGCTTCAAATGGTTTATGGTATCAGAAGGACCCACGACCAACTATGAAAAGTGGTGGTCGATTGTTGCTTACCACGCCAGAAAGGCTCCTACGCTTAAGCTTAAACAACACGTTGACCACCGTTTCGATACTAATAAGCTTGCATCTATTGAACGGATAAAAAGTGGTGGTTAGATACGCATTGAGACAAATATAAAACAAATCTTCGATGACCGGTTACGAACGACAAAACGCTACCTTGAGTCACAGAACTACTGGCACAATTTCAGACGATGCAAATAAGTGCAATCCTATGTCTACTGAGTTATGTGTCGAAAGCCCTAAAACAACTTGATAAGATAGAACATCGTCCGTGATAACTGTGTTATATGTGTATAAGGAATCCTGATAATAATTTGTAGACGAAACGAGAATCCTATCGGCTCGTGCGTGTAATATCTCCATTAAGGGGTCGTTCCCTGGGGTAGTGGTGCAGTAGGCTAATCTTTATGATGATGATATCTCCATTAAGGGGTCGTTCCCTGGGGTAGTGGTGCAGTAGGCTAATCTTTATGATGGTGACTGGCGGTTCAATTTCCTCAATGTGCACAATAATCCCTGAGGGTGACAATCGCAGCATGATTCCCACAGTAGCTGAAAAACCTGCCACTACCTCTCGAAACCATGGTTGGAATATACCGGATATAGTGGGTCGTTCGCGTACCCGAATATACCTCACCAGACCAACCACAATAACTTTATTATCGATCAACACGAACATCTTGTCATTTAGAAAGATATAGTAGAGGATGGTATGCGCAGTCGAAATTTGTTTACCTCCGGATCCGAGCATTGTCATTGGAATATGTGTATCATCTCAATGAAGTTTTGTTCCTAACTATCCAAAGCAATTTCCCCGTTATTCTTTCTCTGGTATTGGCGGAGGGGCACCACCATATTTGAGGCATTGGTAGATTGTTACGTGATTAAGTTTTGACCAAATGTATCATCGTCCTAATGGCTCAATGTTATGGCAAAGAATACGCAATGTGAGGTCGAATCGCATGTAAATATTCCTCTGTTTTATTTTAGTATCAGATTGTCACATTTAAATTGGACCAAACGGGATGATCATGTCAATAGCATCATGGACAAGTCGTCGACTAGACTTCCACTTCAATTTCCAATCAGACAGAGTGAGCGGCATTTGATGAAAAACTTATCTACTTGTTTCGGGTAGTTCATCCACTTTGTAAAGCGATTCAGTGGATTATACATATACATAAATAAACAAGTCTTTCAGTTTTGCTGACTAATATCAGTAATTTGTCAAGAAACCAAAAATTTCTTGCTAACTTTCAGCTGAGGTACAGCTCTCTACCCATTTATGTATCGCAGTAGCGTTGATATATTAATCGTTTTTGCAAAATATAGAGAGTGTCGAACTTCTTGTATACCAGTATACGTATGTAGTTATTAAATTGTTGATCAAAAAGCAGGCCGTCCATCATAGGTGTGTCACTATTTGCTTGACGAACCAGATGAAGTTATAGTTAAAATCGGTGATCTTTTGTGTAGATCATTAAGAGGTACTTAGTTGATGATATACATCAACAATTTTGCATGAAATGTTCTGATGTGCTCCACGCGTCTTTTGTGTTCTTGTCGACAGATCGATTTTCGTGGTATCTGTACAAGAGGCAAAAAATCCTTTTTTGCCTCATATACAGGTACCACGAGAAAAAATTAATGTATACATGTTGATCTACAGTGAATCATCGCGTGTTCCAAATACTGTTAAGCTTGACAGTTTATCTATGAAGCCGTATACCAAATCGACAAGCAAAATCAGACCATGGATGTAGGTGTCATCACTATCAGCCGAATCGATTTTGACCACCATGTACAAAGTGCTGCATATAGTGATGAGCGCTTGAAGGGTCAAAACTCGCAGTAAAGGAGGTCATATAACTGTCTAGTTTTGGCAGGCAATTTAGTAAATCTAGATTTTGTACATCGACACTTTTCATAAAAACAACCACATCGGAACTTTTATCTCACTACGCGTCCATAATGATATTGTGTAGATACGATTACACAAATGTCTTCAATGTATTTGGCACGTAAAAACCAAGATAATACAAATAATGGCATCAATTACGAACGGATGCGTCTATAAATTTTCATGATAAATAGAGTTTTAATCATTACAAACCAAGAAAATAGATTCTTAGTTGGAGCTGACTAAGGAGAGAGTTTTTAGACTTGAAGATGTTAGTAGAGAAAAACTCCTGCTTTTCGTTGGTAATGTAAATATCGTCGCTAAAGATTAACCTGACAATTTAATTGGCCAATTTGTAGGTACTGCTACTATGTGGCAATAATGTCAGGTATTCGACGTACCGTCAATTTCGAAATAATAATGAGTTAGTAATATGCAAATATATATGCATACATATTGAGCTCGACCTTTTATGTGTTTGTATTATAATAACTGTACGTCTTACATATGAATCTTTATTTGTTCCTGCATTGATTGTTCTTTAGTTCTCTACGCTCACACATTTGAAACATGAGATGTATCGGGGCTAGAACAACCCGTGCTTAGCTTACACTCTTTCTAACGCTTTGTGGAAGCTCAAAGCCCAAGTCTTAGATGCTTAGTATTTTTAACTCAGTTTTATATTTTGTCTTTTAATCATCCTAAGTACGAATGGTTCCCTTGGACTCATGGGAACCACTCAATCTACGTGCCTATATCTTACTGGCTAATAAAGGTACTGAGCCCATTAAAACAGCTAAAATATTCGACGTGCTACTTTCGCTACTTCGAAAGTAGCACCCCTACGATATTTATATGTAAACTTAATCGAAAATACTTACGTAACGGGGTGGACCATTACATGAGAGTCGCATGTGTAATAATTCCTTGCCCTTGACATTATTAAAGAAGGTGTTAGGACACACTCTTATATTAGTGACATACTCTTCGCCGCTTAAGCTGACGATTTGAATAGCAATTGCTAGTTTTCCAATTTCATTAATCGATTATACACAAGACGATTGACCAGAAACCTCTGTCGCAAAATGTACAATATTCTTTTGCTCATTCTGCGAGAAGGTGTTAGCTTCTAGGCTTATGTATGATCGATTAGTTACTTTATAGTGAAAAGGTAGAGTTTGTTAAAATAATACAACAATCGACAAAAGATTCGGTATAATGGCTATACACTTCCAGATATAACCTGTATGCGGTTCAACCTTTCCAAATTACGCGGTATCTATGTACATAATTTCACGTGCATTCAATCCCTATTTAGGCCTACTTGATTTCATATCCTTGCGCTATACACGATATGTGACCTCGCACAAACAATCGAACGCCTCCATGTGAAGAGATGGATCGATCAGTGATGTAGGGAAGGTAGAACAGTGTGTTTCGAACTGAACATAAATCAAATAAATAAAGATAAAATAACTTCATACAATGAATGGATGTGACAGATCCATTAGGAAAGGGTGAATTTATGATGAAGTCTTCGATTAGTAATTATTTATTATTTGTAATATACCACAACATTGTTCAATACTACTTAACGTCTCCTTGGATGGCTTCTCATTCATGTGATGTGATCCGCGACAAATTGTAGTACTTATATTTAGTGTTTATCGCAACAATGAGTCTACCATTACAATATGGTAAACACGTGGCCGAAAATCAAAAATGCATGGAGGCGTATCCGTGTTTTTTATTTTTTGGTCAGCATAAAGCGACAAAAATAGCGTCGGATACAATTTCCGTCTTTAATCTGAGAATTATATGATGAATATCGACATGAAAAGGAGCCGCTACTGATAAGCCATCTGCTCGTACCTGTACGATTTGCGTTGAGTTGCGAAGGCTATCAACACATCTCCATTAAATCTTACACATAAATGTGCAAGTCCAAATCGCGAGAAAGCTCAAGCGGTAAA